TCTTCTGCCCAGCCGGTTCCCCCCCTCCCCACTGCGAGATCCCCTGGCCAGCCCCACTGCCCACCCTCCCCGCTAGCCCTGCTTCCGCCAACCAGTTCCCCAGCCAGCCCTGCGGTCTGCCCCAGCCAGCCTCACTGCCCCCTCAAGCCGGTTCCCACCCCCGTGATCTCCCCTGGCCAGCCCCACTGCCCACCTTCCCCGCCAGCCCTGCCATGCAATCTCCCCCAGCCAGCTTCACTGCCCCCGCCAGCTGGTTCCCACCCCCGCGATCTCCCCTGGCCAGCCCTGCTTCCGCCGGCCGGTTCCCCTCCCTATCTCCCCCGGGCACCTCCACTGCCCCGACCCTGCTTCCCTGTGGCCCATATCCAACCCCTCCTCCCCCCTCCACAGTCAGCAATAAGAGCTCACCTGGTAACCCTCACTATGCCTCTACCGGGAGCCTGAACCATACGGCTGCATGTGCCCAGCCCGGTTGAGGGCTTGGGGTACCCAGTGCTGTACAGGCAGTCCGGGAGCCCAGAACACCCTGGCAGCCACGCTGAGGCCCAGTATTTTTTCCCATGGCCCGGTACCGGGCCCCCTTCTTCAGATGACCAGAGTTTTGAGTTTAGGATGTACAGACCTATTTATTTTGGCTCTACACGGCCTAAACTCAAAACTCCAATCGTGAAGAAGTGGGCTGTGCCCACGAAAGCTCGTGATACCATCTCTATGTTTTGTTGTCTATAAAGTACTACCAGACCATTAGTCTGTACAGGATAAACTTAAAAACTCGGCTACCCCCTGAAGCTGGTATAATTTACGCAGCATCCATTCCATTAGTGTGCTTGTCTCTGCTTGGAGAATATTTAGTGCCTTCACCACTGGGCCCATAACCATGGCATATTCTGTCAATAAAACCAGCTCCGCTGGATTCAACCTGTCATACAGTCAATACATAATGTTAATACAAATACAGAATCATCAGAGTTTGTGTTTTTAACAAAAATAAAAGCATAAAGTGGAAAAACTGCTTCTTGCATACTGATTTTGAGTTCTGGGAATACATTTCTCATGGACCCTTCTCCTTGTTCATTCAGTATGCACTGAATTCTCTCCACAGCCATGAACACAGAGTTACATCTTTTCTGGCTTGGCCAAATGCACTGGGGCTTGCATTCTGCTTCCACCATTTTTGCTCCAATTGCTGAGTGTTCAATTTTATTTCATAGTGCTTAGCATCTGGCAAAAGTGGACCTGGCCATCTCTTCTTAGGTGTCATTTGATTCTCCCTGTACCACATCTATAAATGAAACTAGGTTCTACAAGTGGCAGGCTCAATGTTGGTGTTTTGGTGTGAATGATCAAACTGTCCTGGACATGCTCAGTGAGTTTCTTCTGCCTTCACTAATCAGATTTCTTGAATAGTAAGTACCTTACTACAGGAGTCCCATTGTACTACTCAGGGTAGTTGATTTAGCATCTGATCCTATATTTAATGTGAAATTCACAAATATAATTAACAGCAATATTTTCATAAGAGCATTAACCAATATCATATATATAGTAGCCCAATGCCTGTTACTCTGTAACGCTTAAATGCTGGCTGTTACCTCTGTGCAGTGCTGTTGCCTCACTCAAGTCCTTCGCCTCCTGCCGTGGCACTCGGCTGACTTCTGCGCCGCTCAGCTGGGCCGTCGTGTGGGAGCAAGCGGCGCAAGCGACCATTTGGGCTCCGTACCCCCCATGCAGCACAGGGAGTGCAAAGCCCATACAGCCATTTGGGATCTGCGGTCCCCCAAGTGAGAGGCAGGAGGGGGAGGAGAAGAGAAAGAGAGAGACGGAGAGAGGGGCAGGGGGGGGGGGGGAGGGCCGGGGGGGGG